TGTTAAAAAAAAATTATAGCAATTTGCTTAATAGCATTTGCATTTTTTGAGCAATCACTTTGACCCATTTTTTTAACTCCACTTAAATTTTTTTTAAATTTGTTTAAAAATGGTCATTTTTACCACGAAAAATGGTCACAAGTGCTAAAAAATGACATAAAATTCTATCTTTATTATAAAAAAAATGCTTGACAAAGTGCGATTTGGTAGCAATTTCGTATTTTGTTGACACTTTGATCCAATTTTTTTGAGACACGCTTAAATTTTCTTGAAACTTATTGAAATGCTATTTTTTACGAGAAAAAATTATGATCCAAAGTAAAACTTTTTCAAGCTCAAAACTGAGAACATTAAGATTTTGCACTTTTTATACTGTTACTTTGAGCAAGTTAAGAAACAGTTAAATTATTTCAAAATTTGTTAGAAATTTTGATTATTAAGTATAGGTCAAAGATTCAAAAACCACAAAAATGTTAATTAGTGAAAAATTATCTATTCCAAGCTTAAATCTGAAGCAAATTGAACTTTGTCACGAAAGAAATAATGTAAGAAAGATTGAGATTTTTCAACAACTTTGCACTTTTTAACTTATCTCGTAGATGCAATTTTTTTTAAACTTCTTAAAATCTGTTACAAAATGCTAATGTTTTCAAAAGAATTTCATAAGCTACAAAAATGAATTAGGTAAAAATTGAAAACATTTACAGCTCAAAAATGAATCAAATTAACATTGTTATAAAAAAATATATGAGTGTGAAAAGTGAAAAATGCAAAAAAATTGCAAAAACTTTGCCTTCTTGACTTTGCCACTTTGACCCAATTTTCCTAAAAAGCAATTAAATTTTCTTAAAGTACATTTTTTTATAAACATTTTAGTTGTGTTTTTTCACATTTTTTCAATTCTATGATGGTTTCAAGGATAAAAAATATTTTAGTGAATCCTGATATTTTTCAATAATAGCAACATTTTTTATCAAATTCTTGTTTTGCTTAATTGAGGAAAGACATTCAAAATTTGCTGTGTATACAACAAAAATTACTTTTCAAAAGAGACTTTCATTTACCATTTACGAGCACCAAAATTTTCTAAAATTTGTACAAAATTAAACAAATATGATTTTCGTTTCCGTTTTTGAAATTCTTATGAAATACATCTATTTTTTTAAATATTTTTTTTACATTTCGTTAATCCTATGATGGTTCTAAAGAAAAAATATCGATTTTGGCGTTGTAATTTACTAATTAAGAAAAACAATGTTTTGCGTTCGTTAAATTTGAAAGAAAAATCTCTTGAATAAAAGAAAACGGTTTGTGGTTTACCCTGCTTGATGATACAGCCAAACAACTTATTACAACACTATAAATGTTAGACTTTGTGAAGATAAACAGTCAACGTCAACAAATGCTTGTAAATTCAACAATGAAAGGGTTAATATTAATCGACTTGTTTGGCTGATACCTTTTAGCGGCGGCCACGAAAGCTCCCGGCGTATCGCATGAGCCGAAGATTTAATTGAAACTAATCAATATTAATAAAGCTGTTACATGCACCCCTAGTCCATTGTGCATACAAACACAATGTATGCTGGGAACGGCCACCAAAACTGATAACAACAATTTGAAACAGATTTTTTCTATTAAAATTTTCGATTGTAATGAAACAATGACGGTGTTGGGGGTGCACTCGGTCATTAATGCTCATTAATGCGAAAGATTCATCCCCAGAAGATTATGGCCAGCATTAATTTAAATTAGCGAATAGACGACATGGTAATAGTTTATGAATTTATGATGAATGAACATTTGTTAGAAAACAAATTTAATATTGAAGCATGTTTCGATGTACTTGTATGAAATTCCCGACTTTTTATTTGGGTTTACGTCATAATCAAATCCTGCTCCCTGCCGCTCCTAAAGCAGTCGGTTTATTTGCATGCGGCTTTATATAATATATTTATCCGCAGGAGGCGTTCTATGCAGATTTTAATCGCAAAAGAATGAATTTTGATTTTCTATAAAGCAGTTTTAAAATTGTCGTCACGTTTTGGATATCGATAGAAGAATGTGTAGAAGGAAATTGTTGAGCATTGCTGGTCGGAATTTTAATCTGCATTCAATTTTATTTAGAAAAATTATCAATATTTTATTATATATTTTTATCATAGTTTGAGGTGGAATAGTTGTATTTCATAGCTAGTCAAAAACGCGAAAAAAAAAATAAAAATAAAGTAATTCTTTGCTGTATATACACAGGTCCTAAATCGAGCAAAACGAAAATTTGCCACTTTATTTTTTTATAAAAAAATGTTGCTATTATTAAAAAAAATACAATTCCTAAATTTCAACGACAAAAAAAATTCTAGTTAAAACCATAAAGGATTAAAGAAATGTAAAGAAAGAATAAAACAAAAATTAAA